TATTATTATTATTATTATTATTAGGTACGTTTCCTTCTTTTTGAGTTTTGATTCCTTTATCCAAACTTCAGCGGGGACGGCTAATGCCTGGCTTCACCTTCTTCCCAGAGCCAGTGCATATGCTCATCAGTATAACCCTTCTGCATTTGTATCACGGATTATATTCGGAGTGATGGCTGTCACTAATTGTTGACTTAATGAATGCGCATAGGAAATGTGCGTATGTGCGATATAAACAACATTTTGCCAACCTTATCTTTGAAAACAGTAAAATAAATTTGGAAAAAACCAAAACTACGCATACATAGAGATAACTCACGAAACGTCGCATTCCGGCATCACCGGGTCCTACCATGATAATTAAAATTACTGAAAATATGCCGTCTGGAAAACCAAGGTTTACCTGGGAGGCTACTGAAATGGGTACTAAGGAAGTACATTCTAGTAATATGCCCTGAATTTTGTTATTTGTAGGTAATTACCTTTAATAGGTGCGTAGCGTCGTTGTAGGAAAGTCGGTAGTCTTGTGTCTTCGCGTGTAACAAATTTATAATAGACTTACATATGCAAACTGTCTCTTTTTTTATAATATTCCTATATCAGTGAAATAAACACAGATTTAAAAGAATAATATATGATACCGTGAAATTAATAACTGCCAAAACGACATACTTGTAATGGGAAACGGAACAACCCAAGCCATGAACAAAGCAATAGCAATCCAATATGCCGGGCTAGGCAGTCTCTTCAGACTCTCCAGACGAAAGCTAAGTACATAAGCAATAAATAATGGATCAATCTTTAAATAATATTAAGCACAGTCGTGTTAAACGACAGCGGGCTTTTATGTGTCATTGCCGTATCACATAATATAAAACAGAATCACTTGAACAATAATCACGTGAAGAACCACGACCTTTATTGAGATTAAAATTTTATCATTATAATGATCCCCGTGACCTAAATAACTAGGCCAGCAACATCCAAAAAACATTGTATTTGTACAAATGCATATATTATATAACTGAAATGTCTTATATGTATCAAGACATTTTCTTTTCCACTTTGTAAATCAAACGATGGAAACCCTTTTCCTGAAAAAAAAATGCTAATTATTTCCCTCTTAATGTCGAGACATGTTGCAGTCCGTACTCGTGGAGTCCTCCCTTCAAATGTTGGGTCGGTGACGAACTACTCTGACTTTTGGTCATTTCCTCAATCTAGGCAGATAGCACCAACATAACTTAAGTTAGGCTATGATTACCCCTTTGTTCTAGGGTAAGCATAAAAATCTAAAACATTAATGGTTTACCACTCACAGATACATGTTCAGAAAGCAATTTTGTTTGTTTTCTGTGTAGGTCCTATACTAATTGCATTCTGAAAGCTCTGTAAAGGTAATGGATGTTGCTAGGCACTGACTTCTCACTGTAGAGTGCAGACTTCAACCTTGTGAGACTTCTGATTAACTAAGTGTGAGGGAAACAGGTTTCCTCAGAGTTACTCCAGTTTTCCCCAGCTAATCACCATTCTGTCTCTCCATACTCATCCCTCACTGCCCCCTGAGGTGTGCTAGTCCTGACCATACCACACCTTATATTCTCTAAAGTGGGGAATTCACTTGACCCAGCACGGAATAAGGAAATTAATAATACAGTAACTTAGATGTATTTAATATCTCCAAATTATATTTTCAGAAAGCTTCAAGCATTCCACTGATTAATAACTAAATAATGGCAAGGCAGTAAGCAGCAATGGCCCCTGAGGGAAGACACTGTGTTTGAGGTAACAACTCTCAAATGTTCCAAGAGCCAAAGTCTTTGAAAAAACTGAAGGACTACACAAGTGTCTTCCTCCTATGAGAATCCAGTAGTCTGTCTGCAGACATATTGTGACAGCATCTTTACTGATGACCTCCAACTTTTCCTGTGGCTGTCTCTCTGACAGTCCTCTGCTGTGAGTGTGGATAACAAAGCTTCTGGATGGGACAAATGTAATGTGGACAACATTTCCTAAGAGAGGTCACATATGGAAGAATAGTATTAAAATTCACTGTATAAACATAACAAAGTAAATATATTTTTCATCAGTACACAACATACAAGTCAATATTACACGGACCTGTACTTTATGAAATACAAGTCATTGAAACTGAATGATATGAGTTATAAGTAGACACATCTGGAAAATTCAGTGACCCAATCTTTGTACATCAAGTCAAAATTGGCAACTGGTGAACAAATAGATATACACATATATTGTTGGTTTCTAGTGTCTCCACATATGGTCTAGTCAAAGTTTGTGGCCTCTGCCCATGCAGACAAGGGCATACAATCCATTTCTGAGCTGGAGACATCCACTGTATGATCCTTGATGAGAGTGTAACCACAAGAACCATGGTAAGCAGAGGAGTCCTACAGGTGAACATGGGCCAGAGCTGGTATCGCTCACATTCCAGAAGTGTTTTCAGTTGAGGCAATTTGCAGTTTGAATCCATGAAGAAAAAACCTGCAAACATTTTGACTGGCGACTCAATGCAGAACCTTCTGAAAGAGAAACCAGTGTCACACACTGACACACCAGACCCCCATACATATATAATATTTTGTCATTTAAAACTAGCACCGTTTGTTGCAGCTTTCTTCTTAAACACTTCCACAAAATTTGTTTCTCATAAGCACAGTGCATTTGTATTTAATTGCAGGTTAAAGTTAAAGCTGCCCATGTCTAAATAGCATTCTATGGATTCATATGTGGTTAGAAAGTTAAAACTTCATGCACTGTAGACCTCACAGCCAAATGAAGATAACTTCCCAGCTTCATGCTCTGGCCATTTTAACCCTGTGTAAAGTGCCTGCAGTACCCACTAGCTTTGAACCCCTCAACATTCCAGAAAAAAAAAAAAAAAAAGAATCCTTCCCTTTCTGGGTATCAAACACCCAAATGTCCTTCACATGGTCTATCACTTTACTGATTTAGCTGTCAGGATAAGCCAAATATAATCTTGTGCATTTATGAGGGAGTTCTAGGGAAACTTTTTTTTTCCCATTAGCAAGTAAGTCAGTCAGAATTTCCCAGTTCCAATGTTTACAGTCAACATATAAGACAAGCAGTGAACTCTATGCAGGAGGGTCTCTTGAGAAGCTAACAGTCGCTCAGCCATTCCAGATATTTCCAGAGTTCTTTTGGAACCTAAAGCATGTCACAATGTTCAAGTTTCACTTTTCACATGCTCAATTCCAACCCCACCAAACATATATGTGCACGCACACATAAACACAGATGATAGTGCACATGATTATAATGGCTCCATCAGACTGGCCGCCCGCTTCAAGTCTGAAACAAACAAAGACAAATAAATAGAAAAGATGAGGAAAATGTACAGGATTTGTTAAGACAACCTAAAGGAAAGAAATCACTTGGGAGATGCAGACACAGATGCAAGGATAACAGGATAACACATTTTACAGAACAGCTCTGAAACTGTCGACCGAATTAATGTAGTTTATGATCATGAGGAGGGCAGGCCCTTGCAAACATGGTACTGTACAATTACTGTCTTCTGGGATGTGACATAGTGTAGTTTAACAGATACAGTAGGTACCAACATATAGGAGGAATGTACTGTTTCTCTCTTCAGGGTAGAAAATTAACTTTCAAAACAGAAGCAGCCCATTCCTTTGAAATGTTTGCACCTACCTACCAAACTACACAATGCTCCATGCCAGAAGTCACTGGTCTTCAAGATCACTATTCTGAGAAGAATCTCAATTCCCATGTGGTAATGAATATTCATGTACCACAAAGTAGGAAAATTTCTTGACCAGGCAAGTGACTCAACTTCTCAGGAAACCCACCTGATGGAGTCAGTGAGTCAGTCATGTGAGAGGGAGTTGGTAATTTCATCAGCTGTTGTTAAGTAATCTATCTAGTATATGTTGTTATAATAATGGTAAAGCTATCCCTGTTATAGGCCATGAAGGCCCATAGGGTTGCAAGATGTCAATACTCCCAAGTTTTCTAGACTGTAGCCTCACAGCTGGTAATGAGGTTATCAGCCTTAGGTGCTGACTGCCCTTTATCTCCAGGAAGATTCCTGATACTCACTTCTGTTAGACGCTGAGTCGACCCCAGGGCCATAGTGCGCCTACAAGGATTAGGTCAACAGACAAATGGAATGAACATCACTGTGAACTGAACCCACAACCTTACAGCTTGTGGCACAGTAAGTTATTACATTACAAATCATATATGAACATACGCAGCAAAAAGCAAGACAAAACAGCTGGGCTAAAATGAAAGCATTTTCATGCTGTGTTCCGGATATCAATGAAAGAATATGGTCATGTGTAACTGAATTCCAAAGCAGCCTCCATAGTCTAGGGGTAACGTTCCCACCTCGTGACTCACGGTACGCGGGTTCAAACCCGGCGGAGGTCGTAGAATTTTTAAGGGCAGAAAAATTCAGGGAACAAGTCCTCCGGGAGGGACTTTAAGCCGTCGGTCCCGTGTTGTAGCTTTATGGCACGTAAAAGAACCTCATGTCCCAAGGGGACCTCTGAGCCAAATTCAGGAAATTTCCCGCCCAACAGTAGTCTCTAACGCCTCTGGTAGATGGGGGAAGCATCGAGATACCACTGAGCCAGTAGAAGCCAAACTCGCTGGCTGAGTCGGGACTGATGGCATGCACCAATACTGGTAGGGTATAGAGACTGGTAGAATATTACAGGCGGACGCACAAGGGACCAATATCTGGTCTAAGTGCATGGGGAAACCCACCCTCTCCAATAACAACAACTGAATTCCAAAGCCACATTCATGTATGAATGTACACACTTAATGTGCAACTGAAAAGTAACCCACCTGCCAACAGGAGGTGCAACTGTTGTGCAGTGACATTGAAGCTGTGGGTGCACTGTGCTCCAGACGCTGGCTCCATTACCTGAAGCACCAGCCGCAGTTCCCCTGCCATTAGATTTCTGTTCACAACTACCATGTCCAACCGCCACTGCACATCCTGCAGACGGCTCACTGCAATAGAAACACAAGCAACAGTGCTCACAGTTGCAGTTCATGGCCTATCTTAATTCTTTGCAATTCCTAATATGAACACAAGAAAATTAGATGTCCCCTGTTGCACTTTGTTTATTCATTAATTTATTTATGGTTTATTTAACAATACTGTCAGTCACTCCAACGATACAGTGTTGAATGACAGGAAAAGTAATGAGTGATGAAGTGGAAAGGATGCGGAAGGAGGTGGTCATGGCTAACTTGAGGTACTATCCCAGCAAATATAAATATATAACTCTTGTATGTACCATCTCCAGTATGTTAAAAACACAGCATTTTGGCCATACAATGTATTTATGTTTCATATGATTCTCACAATAAATGGTCATTATTTCCTTAAACAGCATTAAATGGTTGAAATCTCAACCAGGTTACCATCTGATCACTGACATTTTGCATTTCTCAGTCTCTCTAGGAAAACTGCAGAAGAGGCCACATTTGTCTCCTTTTAAATCCATACCTACTCTTCCCATCTTACTACATGCTCTGCAATCAAAACGCTACAGGTCACTGACTTCCGTAGCTAATGTACGTACACCTCAGGCTCTGATCCTGCAATCGACTGGAGATTGCAGTAAGGTTCTCGCTATACACTCGGCAGAGTGCCATCGCATGTTCCCTCGGCAGCCCCAGCTGCTGTAACTCACTGCTCAGTGTCTCTGCATCTACACCATGACGAGCAGAGGTTGCCAACACAAACAGCAGTGCTGCCACACTTGCCTTAACCTCACCAGACTCTGTAACACAATTCAAGTACCCTCTGATTTCAAATCTCTGGTAGCACAGCCAGAATGTTTGCGACTACTAACACTAAAGCCATTCAATGAGCATGAATCTACTTCCCTAGCATCCATCTTAATGTTATCCTCCCACTTCTTCCTTATTCTTATGAGTGACTGCTTTCAAAAACATATTCTTGCCAACATGCTGTCTCTAGCATCTAGGCAGCTCCTTATGTCTGAACAATCATACGTGACTCAAGTGATCAAAACGTTTCTCATTATATAAAACAAGAGGGTCAGTGGGGTAAGGCTGAGTCTCTTGGTACTGTGGCCTTAAATGGGCCTGCTGTACCAGCCCCTGATGAGTGGCGAGTATGGAGCCTTGGTGGAATAATAATTGGTGGGGTGAAAACGAAGTGCCTGGAGAGAAACCTGTCCCTGTACCCCACTGAAAATTCATATTCATGTATGCCCAGAAAGTTATGACGTTTTCAGAACCTGATTCATAATTCCCATCGTGACACAGTTCACAATGTTTACAAACAAATCCATACATTCTTAATAGTTTTTTAAATGAAACAACTTTATGACACAGTCTTCTGTGAGCAGCTGATAGTTATCCCGCTGTTTTTACTGAACATGAAGTTTCATCACTATGTTCAAAAGATCCCACTGCTGAATTTTATGTGGGGACCAGGTGAACACAGTCCACACCTTCACATACTGTTTGTTCAAAATCCATTTCTATGCAAACACCTAACTTCATAACAAAAACAACACATTTCTTTCACCCTTTGGGAAATACAAAAATGTCCATATAAAGGAACATTCAAATGTTTATAATAGAATAAACAATACATGCAATTTCACTTACCAAATTTTGCATCTGCTGTGAGCTTCTTAACCCGCTCAAACTGAAAGATAAACAGAAAAAAGACAACTTATTGAAAGAAAGACTGGAGACCTCCTGAATATGAAGGAGCGGTAATAACAGACTGTAAAAGGCTTTTCATACACCCTGTTACTCCCATAAAAAGGTAATACACAATTACCCAGTACATATTTATTTATCTGTAACTTACTCACTGACACCGTCAGTAACTAGGGTGATGATATTGTGTCAGACGACTGTATGACAGAGAATAAGGAACTGAAGAGGATGTGGAAGGAGCTAGTCATAAGGTAATTTAAGCTACTATCCCAACACCTGCCTGAAGGTATGAAGGAAAACCTCAAAAGTCTTGATCAGTGTCTTGACTGAGATTTGAACCAAGTACCTCCCAAATATAAATCACAAATGTCACTCTTTAGCTGACTTGCTTGGTAAAGCCATCTGTATTTTTGATCTACACTAATTCCATGTTAATGCCGTACATTATCAGATTTTGTCTGTCTGTCCCCCTTGCAATCTTTTGTACAAACAACAGGTTAAGGTGCAATCCTATACGCTTCATCTCTGTTTCAGGTAAGAGGATTACAGTGTGGCTGCTCATGATATTAGTACAGGGAGGGGGTATTCTGCTGCAGTTTCTCGAATTCACACGTATAATATTATTAGGGAATCTACAAAGTTGATATTAAGCATTATACATGTCTCCTATATAAACAAATGTGGAAAGAAATACTCACATTAGGGGCAGAGATAACCGCCCTCCCCACTCTGTGACTAGCTGAGCACTGGGTCAGAGACAAAAGCCCCCAACTTAACGACCGAGGATGTGACAATGTGCCATGTGGTCAGGGCTATCACACACATCAGAGACCAGTGATAAATGAAACTGGAACAATTCAGACTCGTCTTCCCATCTACAGGGACAATGAGGTGCTGAATTAGTAACTATAAATCTTGCTTTACTGATGAGAACGAAATTTGGTAACACTGCATACTGCACTTCCTAGGCAACAATCTACGTTCCCGCTATGTTACAATCAGAATGCATCCATTCCTAGGCAATGGAAGCAGTGCAATATCATAATTCTAACAATGAGTCTCCACGGTTACAACTAATTGTTAGAAGCACTGTGTGACAACGGGAAAACTGAACTGTGGGGAATGGTGTCTGGTGTCCAGTCAAAACAATGCCTATATAAGGGGGAACGTACCAGATATTCCAGAGTTGGATAGACCCGTGTGAATGCCAGAGTTCGAAGAGTACAGTTGGAAGATAGCCGCCGCAGAATGCAGTTGAACTGATACTAATTGTACTTGGGTGTGTAAAAGTAAGTGTTCAATAAATACTCGCTATATCCGAGACCCACGTGGAGTTATCTGTCGTGCTGCAACATGTGACAATGCTTTGCACCACTGACCCAGTGCCCGCCTGTCCGACACATGCCATCTGTAACTCGGTTATCTCCACATCAGCCAAGATATGCTTCCCTTCACTGCCAAATTATCCTGTGACTTATAATCACTAACTTGAATACTCTGTGAGTGAAACACGCCATATTTTGAAAATATTAGAAAATAAGTTTACCTGCTGTGAAGTGCAAAACTCAGTCCTTCACATTAAGAGATTAACACAGACTGAGGGAGTGTCTGGGAACAGGCTGAGCAGAATGTTCAGATGTACGAGGGGAAAAATAACAGGAGGGTGGAGAAAACTTCCAGTTGGTGATAAATAACTCATACTGTTCATCAGATATCACAAGGACAATCAAATTGAGAGGGATGGGATGGGCAGGGCATGTAACATGCCTATGAGGGATGAGAACTATGCACAAACTTTGGTCAGAAAAACAGAAGAGTAGAGGCCACTTTGAAGACTTAGGCATAGGCAGCAGGATAATATTAAAATGGACCTTCATGAAACATAGTTTGTGTTAACTTGATTTAGGCTCAGGGTAGGATTCTATGGCAAGGCTCCTCTGAACACAACAATAAACCTTCATGTTCCAGAAAAAGCAGGGGGGGGGATTTCTTCCTCAGATTGGTAAGAAATTACATCATTCCAATGTTTGTAGTTGCCAAAAATGTGTTTCATCCTGTAAGTCTGTTTATGAACCAATTCAACTGGAACTTTTACATCCTACCTCCAATGGGCCGACTGACTGTCTTAAGATTAAGACACTGAAATGAAACTAAGCGTTTCACACATCCTCTATGCTCCACAGGGAGCAACAGGAATATGAACGAATGAATAAATGAAAGAACTGAATAATGTCCATTACCTAACTAACAAATTGGAACAAACCAAATTTTCCATTCCAAGTTCAAGAACATTGCAAGAAATTCCATCATGTCTCTTTTCCAATGAAGAGACTTCTGACATAATAGAAGTGACCTTCTTCTTCAAGGAGTAATATTCTTTTTCCTTTTTAGCAGTTACATGGCCCACCATACCCCCGACACCTTCTAAGAGACTCTGGGGAACCAAAACCTCTTTGTGCTGCCTTTATCACATAATGGTGGGTCCATGTGAGCTCTGTTGCATTGATTGAATCAACTGATCCTATCACAGCCCCTTAGATCTTCCTCCTTTCTCAGAGATGACATCACTCTAAATCCAATGCCACTCAGAGTACAAACACTGCATGTCCATGAGGCCTCTTACTGGCCTGAGGAACCTCATCAACTATATTCTGTCTGACACCATCTTTAAGCATTGCCAGCTACTATGTTTGAGGTGCAACTGTTTTGGATTAGAAATAAAAATTATAAACATAAGATGAGAAACCCTTGTATATATGAAAATGTGGTAAAGATGAAGTAGCTCGGTCAGTAAAATGATGAGGCTGAAGGCTGGGTGGGTGGGGTTTGATTCCAAGTGCAAGCGGAGATTTCCTATCACCACCACATCCAGAGCAGCTCAGGAGCCCACACATACTCCTATTCAACGTATACCAGGGGCTCTTTACCCTAGAACAAAATAGCTGGGGCATGAAGTGGATCATACACTTAGTGTTGAGGTTGCGAATGTGTGGAGCCACACCTTCACATACTCATACATCCTCATGGCATGGTGCTTAAGTAAGCACAGGGAAAACTTTATTTCTAATTTAAGTCTAACCATAAGGAAGAGCAACAAATGAAACATAAATACAAGAGAAACTTGTTCTTATATCATAAACCCACCAGCCCATATTGCCACAGTGCAATTTCACACAAAAACAAATTCAGTAAGTTAAACAATGGTTACTACACCTAGCTAGTAGTCAGAAAGTGCATCTTCCAATTCTTAGGCCATGAATCATTTGTTCTGAGATTTCTCGTTGTTTTCTCCAGTTCTTCAAACCAAATGCTACATCTGTACTTCCTATATCAGAATTCAGCATAATAAAACCTTTAAAACAAAATGGCTATTATTAACATTAAAATCCCTACATTTTGCTCATAGAGTGGAGTTCATACAGTTCTCATGATAATCAGCAGTTTTTTCCCTAAACAGCACTAATTGACTGGACATTGTAATGGAGACATAGTGTCAGCAGTGAAGAAGGAATAGAATTTTTAAATATTATTTACATGAACTTCGGATTTCAAACAATTAAACTTCTCTATGTATTATAAAAAGTTAAACAGTTCTGTCCAGTGTGACTGGCGAAGATTTTTCTTACTTCAACTCTTCATGCCCTTACATGTTTCGGTCTTTAGAGACCATCATCAGAGGGACATCAATATAGTTGCAAGCTACTATTACAATATATGTTCTGAGCTTTGAAACACACATATCATGTTGGCAATTTAGGACTGGATATAAAATCTAAAGTTTTTACAACTATAGCGGCTGTCTTAATATACAGTGCGTACAATCAAGTGTGCGCCGCGGCTNTTCTTATTACATCTCTTGATTGGGGTCGAACATGTGTCGCCTTGTCATTCTGGAGAAGAGGGTTCTTTGATGTCGCCCTGCAGGTGCTAATACCTGCTTACGCTGGTTCTTTCCTTGCAAATTCTCTTCTCTTTTCCTTCTAACCTGAAGATGGAGGCGGTATGTTCCTCCGAAACTTTGGTTAACACAATATCTACACAGCGCCACACCCCAGAAGACGGCATTCTTCATAGTCTCTGCAGTGAAAACCTCAAATATTAAAGCTTCATGTTTTTCTTTCTTTCTTTCTTTCTTTTTTCTTTTTGGCAATAAAGTTCCCAGCCACTGCTTGTAAATTATTCCTTGTTCCTCTGATATGTGCTAAACTCCTCACTGTCTGACCCATCTCACACGCCTTTATGTAACAACTCAACAGAACACAAACTGTGATGCAACTTACATGGTTCCTTCTGTACTCACACTTCCGTTATGCTTTCAGAGTGGAACTAACATCATGAACCAGAATCCTTTCAAGAAGTTGATGACCTCCCAGCTCCTCGAAAAATTCTGTACAATCTCATCCTCCTTAATTTCACCGCCCCAATATTTTTCAGAGACTATAAATTACGAAGCTCCTCATTAAGCAGTGTTATCCATTATCTCATCATCCAGTCAGTCACGTTTTCCCTCTTACATCCAGACCTACTCTTAAACACTCTCAATACATGTTTTTCTCCAACTGTGAGAGACCAAGTTATGCACCCATACAACCCCAGTCAGAGTAACAGAACAAGTTTAGCAATGTCACCCACAGACAAGGCAGGCAAGCTTCTGCTCCTAATCACCATGTCATGATGGAACATGGTGACAATTAGGTCCCTGCAGTCTTAATGTCTAAAAGGAATGTTCCATGTTCAGTCAGGTTATGTATGGCAGTGTACAGGTGAATGGTCGAGGGGGGCCCACATTTGAACTAACTCAATATGGAAGGTTAAAGGTAAAGGTAAAACTGTCCCTGTGCTTAACTAATTAAGCACTACAACATGAAGATGTGTGGGGGAGTAGATGTATATATCCTCACATTCTTGACCTTGGAACTAGGTGACCTTCACACCCCAGCTTTACCCCCCTCCTTGGAAAAAGCACCCAGTACCCATTGGACAGGAGGTTGTATGGGCTTCAGAACTGGTCTGGATGATATGGAAGGGAGACAAATCTTGTCCCTACTGGGACTCAAACTTCCACCCGTCCGCCATTAAGCCTGTAGCCAGTCGCTATATGGTATGGAAGCAAAGAGAAATATTCTGCAAACCCTAACTGGATTTGTTCCAATGCTCTCCACTTTGTGTGTCATAGCAGTGCACATCCAGCATGTACACATGTGCAGAAATAATGAACATATGTCAACTTACATCCATGTGTTCTCCCAGCAGAGATTTTGCTACCTGTTGACATATGAGCTTCATTTTCACAGATGTCTGAAAAGCAGAAGTCAATATTTTAGTAAGCACTACTGTATAATAACAATAGTTTACATCACTTTCGCAGTAACTTTGATGCGCCGTGTATCCTATTATTGCAAGGGCATATGTGCTCAGATTACCTGGCCATACATAATTTTATTTGTAATACTAACACTGTTATCCTTAAGTTAAAATATCATTACCAGCCTTGCAGGAGCAGAAGAATTAAAATCCTGCATTCCTAATGCTACACAGTTACCCCAATTTACAAAATGATACCACCACAGTAAAACCAGAAGATTTAAAATCCCTCCTCTGGTGGATTACAGAATGCTGACCTCCAGAATTTAAATACAAAGCATATGTAAGTACGCAGAGACTGACCATGCGAGCAATTGTGTTTATCTCAGCAAGAATCCAGTCAGGACAGTCCAGATCTCCACAGAAACGGAATCTCTGGAAACAAAATGTAAATCTTAGAAGCCAATGGGAATGCAGTACACAATCATGTCAAATTCTCCAAGGAAAGTTTCAATAATTTTTTTACTTCATGTCTGTATCTTTCCACTGTACAAGACACTTCTCCTGCACATGTAAAACAGCTGCTCAACTTTCATATGTTCACAATGATTAATATTCTATATACCTTCATTATGATAACACATAATAAATATGCAATTTTGAACCAAAGTAATGAGCAATAAAGAGTTCAAAATATTGTAAAATTAACATTACTATTTGAGATTTCTGTATCTCACTGTGTTGAGGATGAAGATTATGGTTTTTCTTCCATGTACTCGCCCAAACTACACAGTGTCCCTTTCTATACAACTGTAATCTTGACAATGCTGTGACATCATATACCATATACTGATAACCTCTGGAGAGGCAAAACTTTACAAAGACAGCATATGAAAATCATTCTGAAACAAGAAAAGAAAGTTCCCAAACCTTCCAGCTGAGGTGAAGAGACCATGGTATGGTTCCCCACTTCTTGGTACCTTACCTACCTACCTAATCACATAATGCAACATCCCAGAGAACCATTGAGATTTATTTACTTCTATTTAAGATAACATCAGTTGCTACACATCATGAAAAAAAAACTGCTTCCTAATCGTGTACAAGAAATTTTACTTATTGATTATTGTCCTCACAATTAAACACTCAACGTAGCACATACGTACCATGATGTGAGTTTAAACTCTAAACAGATGGCAACACTGAATAATAATCCTGCAACAAAAGAGCAGAGATTTAACACCTAACGTACGCGGCAAACTTCAAGTAGGCCTTACGTCTAAAAGTAATATATGAAAATCGTTATACGTAAGAGGTGAAATATCGAAATGTAATTCATACAAAACCACGTTAAAAACGCAATTATACATCTTTAATACATCTACTTACACAGCAAATACTAGTGTCACCAATATTCGCATAACCTAAATATTGTTAGTAATGAAACAGGAATGGTATAATAAATTCTATACCAAATATATACTTACAATTAATGACGAATATTAGCAAGTGAGTTTACACGCTAAAATTTTGTGACTCTTTACATGTCTCAGGTCAATTTTTTCACAAATAATGTAAATTACCACGACAAACACCTGCCAAACAAAAATTTCCCCGATATATTCCCTCAGCTTACTTACGAAGGCATACACCAGAGTTCACTATCGTCGCCTATAAATGATGCCTCTTCTGTAAGTACTGTAAATTACGTACGCCTTACTGAGCGTTTTGGGGATAGAAAGGTCAGAAGCTAGTAACCGGGACGGTTAAATTAGAATAGTGACGTGCTGTCGGCTGGACGACCCACTAATCGGGATTCGATTCCAGACAGGGAAAACAGTCTTTTTCTCTCCCCCGCAGCTTCCAGACCGGCCCTGGGTTCCTCTGAGCCCACACAATGGGCTCGGTAGACTCGTTCTCCGGGGAGTAAATCTGTAAAGATATGAAGCTGACCACTCGCCTTTCTCTACAGCGGTGTCGACGTTAAGAAAGGTGGAGCAATACCTCCGCATTCTCCCATAGGTATTCATCTTAATTAAGCATGGGTAAATGTTCTATCTTTTAATGCAAGAAGATGGAATTCGGTAAAATGGTGAAAAAAAATTAAACCTATCGCTGTAACAGGCCTTGAAGGCAGACAGGGTCCCATATTTTCTAGACAATAGGCTCTCAGATGACTGTGACTGGAATTCGGTACATGTTGAAAGTTCTTACGAAAGCTATTGAGTAAGAATAAGTTCTTTCAAGTTATAAACTGTTTTGTATCATTAATCGTTAATTGCTGGTAGGTACTCATATCCATGCTCTATATAAAATAATTGGTATTTCGCGAAAAACAAATAAAATGGAAGTCAAAGTGACACAAGTTACATGTTTTCTGGACGTCAACGATTAATATTAATATTATTTATTTAATGAAGTAATACTGGTTGAGCGTGCTGTGTAGAGAGTATATTTAAGCAAGAAATTCGCAAAACTGCGACAAAATATTTCACGGTAGAGGTCATGACGTATAATCAGATCTTAAATGATAATAACGAATAAGGGAAGAAAGTTGCCGCGACTGGCGCAATGAAAGACAACCCAGTACCTCGCAATGTGACACTATTGCTGCCTCTCCGCGAGTCGCCTTCACATTAACGATTGTCTCTATATGTCTGCTGGTTCTATTGACCGGACTTGAAATACTAGCATCTGAAATCCAAGCCTGCGCACAGGATGCTCCTTTAGTTACAGCTTCCAGACCTTAGATACTGGGACCGAAAATTAATCTTCGAGCGAAACGTGCTGGATAATTGATCAGTTAATGTTTTCAACATCTAACTCAGCTGCAGTGGTACCACAGTTTGTAGCATAAATTTCCGATTAATTATATAACATGGAGGCAGAAGCTGGCCGGTGTTCTCCAAGAAATATTTCGGCGTTCCCTACAGTCTGAAACGCTTCTTTTCGCATAAGAGAAAGGAACCAAAACGAAAGAAGTTTTTTACATGTCAAGACCATAGTTCTGGCTGACACGCTTAAGGACAATTTTAAACACCCAATTTAATATCTCACCCTTAGATCGAGTTGTTGCTTGCGGAGGTGTAGCATACATATATAATAAGAAATTTAATTCCAGGGATCATTTTAAAGAACCCAACAGTAAATTTAACGTGAAATTTCTGTGCTAAAGCATCATGCATGAAGTTTAGAAGATGGTCCGGTTGAAGCTCTACGCTTTCTTAACCTCAGCATTCAGTGGGGTGAATGGTTAGTTCCATGCTCTATCCGTTTTAGCCCCAGGGAAAGAGGGCACAATATCAATTATCTGGGAACCTGAGTGGACCTGAAAGCCGGTCTGGACGAGTTCGTGAAGATAAAATTCTCTTGCTCATCTCAGTTGAAACCCAGTAGCCTGTCACTTTACTGACTGAGCCCTCAAAGCTAACCAATCAAGTAAACGTGTGAGATTTAATCAGATAATTGTACAGATGCAACATATTTGTCTCTTCAACAAGTTTTTATTCATTTTTGGTTTATTTAACGACGCTACAAATAGCTCAGACTACACAGTACTGAATACAGGTCGATTAATTAATTTGAAAGATGTGGCCTAATTTGAAGTGTTATGCTGGTATTTTCCTGGAGGGACGATCGAAAACCGCGAAGCTCCTCAGTGAAGACAGTCGGGGTCACGACCTACATTCCCACAGGTCATCTCTGGAATAGAAGTCAGAACGGCTGCCACTAGAGCCAGCTTGCTCGGGTTTAACCCGACTTCGCCCGGAGAGTGATCTCAGCTATGCATCATGGCGTTCCAGACGTTTCGGCCAACAAAGAGAACCAAAAAGCGGTTCATTATCGTTGCGAAGTACAGCCAAAGAGAGTCGACTTCCCGTGGGTCTCCAAACAGACTCGAGCATTAAAAAGGAATAAGCCTTGATATATTCCCTTCTGTTTGCTGTGCTACTGCGAATGTATTTCCCAAAAGAGTGCAAGAGGGAGGGAAAACTTCCCCTTCCCCGCAACAAACCGCACAAAGCTGCCTTAGCAACCGTGAAATGAAATCATGACGTGAAACAACCGCCAACCCAGAGTGGGTGAGCCTAAACCTGTCACCAGACCGATGCATTGCAGGAACAGAGAGAAACTGCGAGCTTGACTGTATAATTATAGGGAATTTATACGTCCATAAGTTGGTGTCATTTCATTGTCGGCGAAAGTAATATCTCTACGACAAAATTAAGGAAACGCGGTCAGATATGCTATGTCGTTTAGACAAAGTGGCATTTAAAGCAATACAGGCCGCTGTTAGCAGAGTATATAGGTAAATATGCACAGACACAACCTACTGTAAGACATAAAAATTCTATCTCAGTCTCAACGCTTTACATTCTCTCCAACCTATCTTAATCAGGACGAGTAGGATCTGTGTGTGAACTTGTCCTCCATGGAGATGTATTTTCTCTCACGGCTCTTTCGCCCTTTCTCTTTAATAATATAAAGCAAATGTATCTCTATGCCCAATTCATTAAGTACCATGCCATGAAGACAAATGGGGAGTGGAGGTATAGCCCCTCGCATTCTGAACCTCTAACGTAGATGAATTCATGCTTTAAAGAATTAAGTTCCCTTCTCCGTCACTACACAGCGTACGCAACACCTGCCGACAAAAAGTACAAAGAGACGCCACAAGACGCACCAGCTCTGCACCCAGGGACACGACACTACAGCATTGCCTCTCGGCCCGGAAGCCATCAATAGGAAACCACGGACACACGTCACACATCTCACTTAGAGTCAGCATAACCTCGGAAAGAAGTCGCGGCCTGCGCTGCTCAGTGTGGGCCGAGCAGCAGCGCAACAGGTGGCGAGATGGCGAAGCACGCGCAGTGCAGGGTCTCTCAGTAGAACACACCGCCAAGTCGCTGGACTCACCACATGCGAACTGGACGATCTTCACGGTGCCCAAGCCGGCTCTAAGGCCCACCCAGCTCCCCAACCGGTGTACCGGGAGGGAGGGGCCCTTTCCCGTCGGTAAAGCGGCCCGCCACTCACCTCCATCTACTACCGAGGTTGAGAATGCGTGGAGCCCCCCTTCACCGCCAAGACCCCAAGGTCTTACTTAAGAACAGAAACAGCGTTACTCTGCGGCCATCCAAGTGCAGGGGCAGGGATGAAGTCCCCAACTTAAAACCCGAGGATGTGATAAGGTGCTGCGTGACAGGGGGGCCTAAGCGAGAGATGATGGATGAGTATGGAGCAGTGTGGAACGATGATTGGCACGTAAACACAGAAACAACTCGGAGGAAATTTTTTCCACCATGGATATGACACGGAGTAACTTGGTATCGAACCCGTGGCTCCACGGTAAGAAAGCAGCGCCTAAACGCGATTTTGCTATATTAAGAACTGCGAGGAAGAGTAGCGCGACATTTCGTGTGGGAATATAGCTGAAACATTCTCTTCTTTCATTGCAGAATTTTTTACCAGCATGGTGGGTGAGTGAATCTGCATTTATATTTACAGGGATAATTAATGAAACATCGGAAGTAACCATGAACATAAATCAAAGCCGTCTAACAATTTGTGTGGGAGTCCCATGCGTGTTACCCCTTTAAATCATTGAGGTAATTATATACACCACATGCTTTAATACTTGAAGAAGCTCGCATTTGTACCAACAGAGTGTATTAATGTGTTTCTTACGACCCCCAAGGCAAAACAGTGATTGTTTCCGTAAGCAACATTAATCGTTGTGTCTGTGTAACGGAGACGTAATATGTGTATGTGCCCTGTGGGGTACGAAATGAATTTCAAAATAATTTGCTAGTGCTTGTTCCCTATGCAGCCCCCTGCTGTCGAAGCCACTAAAACTATTTCTTCTTCCAATTTGTACATCTGGACAATAATTGAGATCAAACAAGATTTGGGGTTTTCACGGCGGTGACTATGAAGCATGCCGTCTTCTGGGATGTGGCGCCGTGTAGATCTTGTGTAAACCGATGTTTCAGAGGGACGTATCGCCTCCATCTTCCTGGATAGAAAAATCCATGAGCGAGGAACCAGCGTGAGCAGGTGCCTGCAAATCTACACGGCGACACATCCCAGAAGACGGCCTTCTTAGTAATTTAGATCATAATTCCGC